AATAAATTTTTTTTACAAAAAAATTCCTTCAGGTTTGGCACTTCACCTGTTTTTTTTTCAAATTTTGAAAATATGTCTTTCTTCAAAATATGGGGAGACAAAACAGATTCTATGTTGCTGAGAAGATACAGGAAGTCATCATTAAAGGTGATCCTAGAAAACCTGCATGTGGGTTGGTGTCATTTTGAAACCAGAGAGAGGCTAGGGTGGAGTTGGGGGTCAGGGAGTGACGCTGGGCCTGGAGCAGCTGCCAGCCTGCCCGCCTTCACTGCCACCCTTTTTCTTCAGAATAAAAGGAACGTACAGGAGGAGGGAGTCTCCCACCTGATTGGCCTCCCAACAGAGTAGTTTATGGGTTGGTTCCCTTTTAAAGCAGTTGACTGAGAAAATCCCTTCTTTGGTGCCCTGGGGCATCCCCAAGTCAGGGTGACTGAAGGGAAACAGAATATGATTTCACAAGAAACTTAGTGCTCTGCTTTAAAATCACCTTACTCTATAATTCACTGAGGCTCATAAGGAAACCCTAACAAAGAAATAAAGCAGCAATTGGTGGGTTGGTCTGCGGTCAGCTTTCTCAGTCCATTATTTGAATCAAAGGACCAATATTTGAAAAAAGCAGGCATTTATTTGAATATGCTCTCTTCCTCCTAGAACTTTCAGGAGCTTAATTTAAAATTTTCCCAAAAGTACTCTGGCTACAATTGAGCTTTCATCTCAAAATTGGAAGCAATAGCACTTACGTTGGCATTTTATATTATAAGCAGAGAAATGTTTCATAGCCAAATGAAACATCTCCCTCATTTTACACAGAAGGAAATGGTTGCCCAGGGAGATTAAGTGACAGCCAACATCTCCCAGCTAGTGAGAAATATGGGGTCCAGTAGCAACTATCCAGCAATTACTGAAGGTCAGCATGTTGAGTGCTTTCCATAATTACCTATTTTAATCCCCACACAGTAGATATTAAAGAGCCAACCATAAATGTCATTTATTCTTTTCTTTGTGCTAAGCATTTTAATACATTATCTCTAATTACCACAAAAACCTTCTGATGTAGATGTAATACCCCTATTTTACTGACAGAGAACTAGGGTGCTACCCAAGGCCACTTCTTTAAAAGTAAGCCAGGGGACTTCCCTGGTGGTGCAGTGGTTGAGAGTCCGCCTGCCGATGCAGGGGACACAGGTTCGTGCCCTGGTCCGGGAGGATCCCATATGCTGCGCGGAGCGGCTGGGCCCATGAGCCATGGCCGCTGAGCCTGCGCATCCGGAGCCTGTGCTCCGCAACGGGAGAGGCCACAACAGTGAGAGGCCCGCATACCACAAAAAAAAAAAAAACGGAAGCTAGGGATTCCCACCCAGATTTACCTGTCACACCTCAGTTTGCGTTCTTTTCACTCTTTAAGAGGTTTTCAAATTACAGGTCACAATGGTGATAGTGAACTCAGTTTGGTGGGTTCACCAGCGTTTTAAAAAAATAAAATAAACAGAAGGGAATGGGATAGAATTTAAAAATAGAATGTATCCCATTACAAAATCACACAAACATTTTTCAGTTATACGTACATCTGCTGTATATTTTTTCCCCAACACCAACAAACAATTAATTCTGTACTGTCTATTGGAGATAGCATCAGATGCCAAACATTGAGGGCTCAGCCTTATAGGACTGCTCCCATGCCCCTTCAGAGACCATTTGCAAACCCAGGTTGTCACCTGTGCTTCTGAGACACTGGCTGGCTGTAGGTGCTTCCTAATAGTTACCTCATTAACATAAACTCAAGTGTGGTTGAAAGGGGTTTGTTATAAATATCAAGACACTCTATCACAAGAAATTTAAAGGATTTTAGGAGCTCTGTGCCAGAAACAGCATGAAGACCAAATATATATTTATTATAAATCACAGTATATGTGTATAAGTATTATTATGTAAACGTTTTTCCTGTGGGTTGTGGTCAGTTTTTAAAGCCACTGCACCAGAACTAATCCATCTAAACCTTAGCAAAACACTGGTATACAGTGCAGTTAACTGCCGGCTCTTATTAAAACAGTCCCCAGATCTGCTGTGGATCCTTCCCATACATTCTCAAAACCATGGGTGTTGTATTCCATCAAACTTGATTGACAGAGGACTCTCCCTCCACCCTGACACCAACTGTCTGACATGTGGCCACAAGAATATGGGTTGACATGACCAAGTCCATGCCTAAGCATTTCAGCAAGCCCATGAGGTCATCTCATGCATGACAAAGTCTATAAAGTAGAGGGACGTTATCAAAGTCTATAAATTAGAGGGACGTTATCATTCTGCATAAAATGATAAAGCCCATACCTGCACCTTAAGTGTATTTTTCCATCACTATACTAGGTTGTCAGGAAATAAGAGACTCTACGATCCACCATACTAACAATAGGTCAATAGAGTTGGAAAGAGCACAATTCATTTCACAAGCATAAGCAAGTTTTACAGTGAGAGGGAGTTTTGTTAGTAATGGTGGTTACTCTTTCTGACGGTATTGCATGTTGTGGATTCAAAGATGAATAAGGCTGGAGCTCAAAGTCCAGTGAGTGTTTCTGGCACAGTAACATCACAGAGGAGGAACTAGAAAGGGATGCAGTGTAACATTAACTGCTATAGTAATTAGTTCAACATTACATGAAAATGTGAATAAAGAGCTTTGGTAGTGTAGTGAAAATACCTAGTTTGGTTTGAATCCAGGGACTGGTATTTATTTCTGTATATTGACTGAAATGAAAAATATATTCTAGTCTCTGGTCAAATATAGTTAAGAGAGGGAACTAAAAATTTAGATTCTTATTGAAATGATATCCTATTTTAAAAGAAAAAATATGAACCTGAATGTAAGATTGCTCATGTATTTTAGAGCTAAATTAACAAACTAGTATCCCAAATCCTCCTTTATTTGTTAGCCGGCTTTCTGAATATGATACCAGATTTGGGAAGACATCTATGAAAATATAGAAAATCCATGGTTTTCTTTCATACACTGAACACTTTTAAACTGCTGTCTCTGTGGTCTGCATTGTGGATAATAAAACAGCCTTACCTTGACTGCTCTCTGTTAATCCAGGGAGAGGACTCTCTTGCATTGTCTACAACTAACTCAGCAGCCTGTAACTCTCACCTGTTTTGCAAGGTTCTTCCTATCTGTTCATCTGAATCTGGGAAAAGCTCATCGTCCAACTTTTAGCTCTAATCTACAAGGAATCTTTATGTTTATTCATTAAATTTCCCTTAATAATACTTTTGCAAGAGGGCCCTTTCTAAATCTATACTCCCTTTTGTGAGAATGTAAAATAACTCATTTAAACAGAACCTAGCAAGCAGGAAGAATTCAAATGCTGGCTAATTATCTACTTGTTCATTATTGGTTAATACCCTTATAATACTCCCGTTGCTATCAATATGATATACAAATTCACTTCCCGGTTAAAATGATATTTTCTTGAAAGTAAATTGAGTGGGAGTCTTGTCTCTTTTTGAGAATTAAATGCTTAGTGTTATTCTTTTTTTTTTTTTTTTTAATTTTTTGCCGCGTTGTCTGGCATGTTGGATCTTAGTTCCCTGACCAGGGATCAAACCCGCGCCCCCTGCATTGGAAGCGCAGAGTCTTAACCACTGGACTTCCAGGGAAGTCCGCCCAGTGTTCTGAAAAAGATCTGCAACCCTATGCGGCAGATAATGCTGTTACAGAAGGGGGTCCCCTTCCAGGGCCCGAGAGTGGGCTGTTGTCTAACACTCGGAAATGAATTGTCCAAGGAGACACACTTAACTGACAAAGCAAAAGACTTTATTAGTATGGACATATATACACTACCAAATGTAAAATAGATAGCTAGTGGGAAGCAGCCGCATAGCACAGGGAGATCAGCTTGGTGCTTTGTGACCACCTAGAGGGGTGGGATGGGGAGGGTGGGAGGGAGACACAAGAGGGAGGAGATATGGGGATATATGTATATGTATAGTTGATTCACTTTGTTATACAGCAGAAACTAACACACCATTGTAAAGCAATTATACTCCAATAAAGATGTTTAAAAAAAAAAAAAAAAGACTTTATTGGGAAAGGGCACCCGGGCGGAGAGCAGTAGGGTAAGGGAACCCAGGAGAACTGCTCTGCCACACGGCTTGCAGTCTTAGGTTTTATGGTAATGGGGTTAGCTTTCCAGGTTGTCTCTGGACAGTCATCTTGCTTGGCCCATATTTGGTCTGACCCAGGGTCTTTCCTGGTGGCACATGCGTCTCTCAGCCAAGATGGGTCCCAGCATGAGGGTTTCTGGGAGGTTGGCAGGACAGAGTAGGGCAGGCGTCTCCTCCCTCCTTTTGGCCCCTCCCAGATTTCCCACACACACACACCCCCAAGGTCTCAGCGGTGGCACACAGTGGAGCAGGGCTTCCGACCACCAGCTGGCTTTAAGCCAGCACTGGTGACCACTGTGCACTGGCCTAAGAAGGCAGTGTGATTCAACGGACTTGTGATTACCAGCCTGAGAAAGTGGACCCTGGACTTATCTCCTCTCTGTCTAGCTCTCTCTCTGGGCTTGGGCAGGCCATAACTTCTCCAGACATTGATTTCTTACCCAGAAAAAAAAAACCCAAAAAAACAAAAAAAAAACATTGAATCAAATGATCCCTTTGCTGTCCCTTGTAGCAAACTCGGAATCATTTTTGTGAATCAGCAGGGAAGGGGGAAGAATACAATGTTAATAGTCCCTTCATTTAAGGAAAAAGGATACCTGCTTTTGTGAATGAGTTTTTGATGTTCCTGAAGGAAGCCTCAAGGGGAAACTGTAAAAGATCCACAGAGTGGTTGGGGATAACCCAGGAAAGAAAGAGAAAGATGAGAAACTGAATATGTTACTTATCTAGAAAATTAAAAACAACAACAAAACAAAGACATTTAGGAATAGAAAAATATAGGTAAGAGCCCTCCTTCCCCAAACAAATAGATGATCTTACCAAAATTTCTTTCACTTCAGAATGAAGAAATACTTGAAAGCAGTCATGATGGGGAGAACCCTGAGCCAGAGCAGCTTGACAGTTCCAAAAATCTCTCCCCCAGCAGGTAAGATTGCACATCTCTTTGTAGAAGTCATTTTAACCCTTTAGAGGGGTGGGGGTAATGGGGGAGGAGGGTAGGGTATGCTCTGTTTTAAATCTCATCACTTACCTTTCCTAGATAAAATCACATATTTATTCTTTATACTAACCTTCATTGTGTACCGGAGAACAAAACTCATGAATCTCATAAAAGCAACAAGCAAGAGCTGAAAATGGCATCTCATAAACCAGGCTTCCCAAGATACTCAGTTTTTAAAAACAGTGTATTATCAAGAAAATAGTAAATGAAAATCTATTGCTAATATTGATTGAATTATTGGTTTTAAAGCATTTAAAGGATATAGGTTCCCCATAAACACAGTTTATACAAATGTAATGCTATTTTTGGCCTACAGCAAGGTGTTTGCATGCATGTGAAGGCTCTGCAGATCAGAAAGCCTAAATTATGGCAGTTAAGACCAAAAGCATGAGAGGAAATTCATTTTTTTAAAAATTTTCCTTGTACTCAGAATCCCCATCATTACTTCTATTCTAGCCTTTGTCACATTGTTTTACCCACACCATTTGACTTATTCATTTATGAGCTGCTTTTATCCCAAGGGTCTATCATGTTTAGCTGTTAGCAGACCTCCAAAAAAATGCCTGTAGAATGAATGAACAAACATCTTTAGGAATTTTCCCCTTGATTAAAGCCAGTATTAGTTTAATTAGATTACTTCCTAGTCTTTCACTTTAAGGTGTACTCAAGGAAACATGTGGGCTCTTACTGGTTGAATATACCTTTGAGTTACAGTAAATGGCCCAATTCAGCATATCTGAAAGTGTATTTACTTGGGTTATGTCTGAAAAGCACCACCTGGCAATGTATTCTGTTGTTTTCCTTAAGTGACAGTATATCATTGGGGACTTTTCTATTACTACAACCATACTTACTTCTATAATTGTAATTTTATAATTCTTATAATGAATCCTTTATGTTAGTTGATGAATTATTGTATTAATTTACAGGAAATGATTAAATCATACTTCTAATGAGAAATGCAAATGGGAGAAGTTACAGCATTTAATGAAACAAAAATATCTAAGATTCTTGCAAAAGAACTTTGAGAAAAGGCAAAATTAGCCAGTGGATTAAGGAGACAGGAGAATCTATAAGACTACTGTTTTAGTTCTACCTCCAGCTTTGAATAAATACTATAAGATCACCATCTTTGCTGCAACAGTTTAATCTATATTCCCTTATTCATTTCTGATTTTATAGATTTGAGGTTTTTTGTTTTTTTTTTGCGGTACCCAGGCCTCTCACTGCTGTGGCCTCTCCCATTGTGGAGCACAGACTCTGGACGCGCAGGCTCAGCGGCCATGGCTCACAGGCCCAGCCGCTCCGCGGCACGTAGTATCCCCCCGGGCCGGGGCACGAACCCGTGTCCCCTGCATCGGCAGGCAGACTCTCAACCACTGCGCCACCAGGGAAGCCCAGATTTGAGTTTTTATGTATAACTAATACAGATTTGTTGGGCTAGAGTTGATAGGTACAATATGCTTGGCACATAGTAAGCATTCAGATTTTGTTGAATAAATTATAAGCTTTTAAGTAGTGCAGGTAAAATGTTACACCACATAGTGTCCATTAAGGGTCCTGAATAATTAATCTCTTTTCATTTTTGGATGGCTTGCCAGAATAACATTACTTTATTATATTTGGGAAAAATAATGATTCTAAGCACTATGTGATAGCACTGTGCATAGTCCCTACCCTTCATAACTTATATTTTAACTAGGAAAAAACACATGAAATGATTCCTAGGTAGCACAATAAAATATTTGATTAAATATATATTTTAGAGGGAGGGGAGGAGATGCTTAATGGAGGAGCAAGGGTAGGGTTGTAAATCCAAGATTTCAACAGTTTCAGGAGAAACAGTGTTCCTAGCAAGGGAAACCAATTTATGCAAGGTAAGATCTCATGAATGAGATCTGTAATGGGTAATAGCGGCAGTGGGAAAAATAAAGCTACAGGGAACGAAGGAGGAAAAGAAGATTAGATAAGGCCTTGAAAACCAGGTAGAAGAGATTAGATTTGATGCTGGGGCAGTAAGGAGCCTTTGAGGTCTGGAGCAAAGGAACATCATAATGAAAGCTGCGACTGAGGCTAGTCCAACTGCAGAATGCAGTCACTGCAGGGAAAGCGGAGTCAAGGAGACACCTAACATTTCTCTCATTATTACAGAAGAATGAGTAACCCTGTCTGATTCTCACTGTAGCTATGGTATTCAATTAAAGTCCCCAAAATAGGTCAACTTAACTCTTCTGAGTCATCATCATTTTAGTCCCAACTACAAACACCCCAGCCATGCCTTGCAAGTAAAAGTTCTACTACAACCAAATAATTCAGATGCTTCCAAGTTTTAAAAAATATACAGATTGAATCACACCATGTACTATGCTAAGAATCAAGCCAGAATCAGGTGAAAAGCAGATGAGCACATACTATGTACAGATATACTGAAACACCAAACGCTGCAGAGCAGGCCTAAGAATATTCATAACATTAAGAGACTAGGGCTAAATGCGAATCAACTGTTGAATAGCTAATGATATCAAATAAAAGGAAAATATGACCTTTCAAATGGTGTCTTAAGGCACTATGGCTATAGATAGGTTCTTATTTCATCTTTTCCTGAACAATCTATTAGGAAAGAAGAATTCCCCCACCTAGACATTCCAGCATAAATCTTTCAACAAACAAAATAAGCATTTTAGATGGCTCCACAATGCAGAGGACACAATAATCCTCTATCATGGGCACAGCAGCAAGTCTGAACAGGAAATAGGATTACGGTCATGTACTACAGACCTCTCTGACATTAAACAGAACTAGTTGATTATATAAACAAATGGTGTTCACACAGGAGTTTAAAAACCTTTGCGAAAATACACATCTGTTGACAATTTTCAAGTTGTTTATTGGAAATCATAGATTTATTTTTAAAAACCCTCTATTTTGCCATATAAGCAAAATTCAAATAATATAAATATTTAACATTTTGGTATAAAATTAATAATATGGAAAAAAGACGCAAACCAACCAAGAGGTAAAAAGTTTTTAGCAATAACACTGTGTATAACTGTCAATTGACCATCTAGGCTAAGTTTATTTTCCCTTTATTGATGATTTTTAAAAGACAGCCTTGCACTGGAGCACCAAAAAGTTTTTTCCTTCCTTTTTAAAAGGTTGGAATCCTTTATTTACAATTAATCTTCTCAGTACTTTAAATCTGATGAAGGAAGAGTCTAGCAATTTCCTTCTTATTAAAAAAAGGAAGTGCCTTCATATTTCCTTCATATTTAACTGTTTCATTCTATTTTAAGCAAAAATAAAAAGATGAACACAATTGAGGGGAGCTCTTTCACAAATAAATAACTGTTTCACAAAAGTATTGCTGTAAACAAGATCATTTTGATGGCCAGAGAGACACTGATGTTTTCAACCAATGGCAAATTTAAACAGTTACAAGTATAGATACACAGGGCATATATATGGCCAAAAGGCAAATGGTTATTAAAGAATCAACTAATAAAAATTAATTATAAACCTGCTTTGTCAAAATACGCTTTTGTTCTCTACAGTTTTTTAAATTGGTCAGAAAATTAAAACTGTAATGATCTAAAAACCCTGAACCTACTCTGAAAGTAACTAAAAACTAGAATGTTTTGACATGAGTTAAAAATTTTAAATTATCTGAGCAATCAATGTAAACAAGCTTCAATTTTCAAAATAGAAAAAAATTAACAAAAAAATTCTGTAAACATTGAGAAGCTACCTGCAACAAATTATACATATCATCATCCAGTTGTGTATACTGAGAATTCTTTTTTAGTTTTTTTGCATGTTTCAGACATCTTACTAAGTGATACATCTTAGTTTTCCCTAACAGGAGCCTCTGCAGACAAAGGGTTTATAATCAGTTCGATGGCTTTTGCTGAAGTCACTATTTTGGCTTTCATATAATCCCCCTAACAACAGACATCACCTAGTTCTTTCTGTAGCGAGGGGAGGTTGTTTGCATCATAGCCACATTTTTATCCTGCTCTGTAAAATAAATGTAACGCGCTATTGGATCTCAGCCACATCTCTTTGATTACAAGAAACCTACAGCTTTACAAATGCTTTAAATCTCATTCTAGTGACTTTTCTATCACTTTCATTCTACTTTGAAGTTGGAAATATTTATAAGTTGAAGATAACCTCTGACAGTTGTTGTGATGAAAGAGTAGATTTTTTTTAAATACTACAGCTTCGATTTGATGTTTAATACTCTCAATTTTAAAAGCTGAACTCAGAACAAAGTACTGTGGTTTATAAGACCCTGTTGGAGAGGGGTAGGCTAATTTTAGTAATCAATACAATTTAGACACTAAAACTTTTATTTTATAAATTATGGAGAAAAGAGGCTTTTAATGTTCTATCTTTCCTTTTGAATTCTTCTTCATTATTATATTCCTCTATGTAAACTTACATTCAAATAGCTGCCTTAAAAACAGACCCATATTGAATATTTAAAAACCAGTTGAAAAATTCATTAAATTAAAATCAGCTTATTTGAATTAACAATGATTTCTCTCTAGAGAAGGACCCCGTGAGTAAGACACTGTCCATGTTTTGTGTCATTTTCTAATAATCAAAAAGAACCATAATAAAGTACTAGTTAGGGCAGAACTAATGACTTCTCAAATTTCACATTAAACTTTGAAAAAAGATATGAATATATTTAAAATGACTCCAACACTATCCAGGTAAAATAGCTACATGGATGTGACAGTAAGTGATTTGACAGTTTATAAAGAAATTGTGTACCTTTTCCTAAATCTCCTCTGAAGAAGAGGAAACTTTCTTTTACCAGATTCATGTACTTTCTTCTAGGCCAATCCTCTCCTGCCTCCACCAACTCCATCAAGTGCTCTTTAATCAAAATAAACTTGTATACCCGGTCTAACAATATATCCATTTCTTTGAAATGTTGTACTATACACTTACTTGGTATTTTCCAAAAGCAGTTATTCTAACACCTAGGCACCTTAATAACTTCTCTACACCTCTAATATACACGTGGTACTGTGAACTTGAAATTCCCTTTAGTTTTGTTTTCATAAACCTTGTCTAAATATAAATTCCTTGATATGAATTTAGGCAATGAAGTAGATAAGTTATATTGAAGGGCTTCTAGAATCAAAGAAACATTCTGATAGACAGAGCTTTCAAAATATTTCTTTGTTCTTCATATTCATTTCACTTATGGTATAGACAAACATTTAAAGGTTTTTTCATCCACGTCTGGCTCAGTGACAGTGAAAACATACAACATTCAAGTACTATTAGGCAAAGGCAGCCCTACACGGATACGTATCCACATAGGTCAGTTTGCAAAGGAGGACTATCTTAATTATTCTGCAGTATAATTGACCAAAGAAACCTTTTGAAATCATTTTTACTCTTGGGTCTGTGGCATCCTTCCAAAGGTCCTGAAGGTCTTCTACATGCCCATGAGATGTCATCATTTTTTCATAGATGCAGGGATGATAAGGAGTTTTACCTTCCCCGGAGAAAAACACATGGTATTGTGGTACTATCCCTATTTTATTGGCACAGAGGCCCATGAACACATCGTCTATGTAAAGACTAGAGTTAAGTGTCTGTGATGCCTCATAGACTTTGGCGGCTACATCACCAGAGATCACGTAGGCGGCTCCTGCAGTATAGTCAGGGTAAGCCGGCCACTGGTACATTTCATAGGAGACATAGTATTTGCTGCTTTTGTCTCTGACGGGAGGGGCACCACGATGAACACGACCAATCCAAAAGTCTTGAACACCCATTCGTTCTAAACTCTGAAGGTATTCAATAAGATTTGGCATGTGAATAAATATGTCATCGTCAGCAGTCATAAGGAATTTGGCATGTGGACAAAAGCTATTTGCCCAACTGAACTGCAGAAGAAATTTAAGAGTAAGATTGTAGAAAGAATCAGCAAAAGCTTGCTGAATTATATCATTGTACATCTGATCTTCCCAAACCAGTCTTCTCTGAAGTCTTTCTCTTGTCAGTGGGTCAGAAGGTGTTCCTAAGACAAACAGAGTTTTAATGTTGGCGTTAAGTTCAGAGCGAACATACTTCTCATTGCCCCATGTTTTCCTAATGGCAGAACGGCGATTGTAGTTTTCAGGAGCAGTCTTTACAAACAGTAAGAGCAGGACGTCTTGTGTTTGACACTTCTCCTCGTGGTTTATCAAGTACTGGTAGCGAGGAGCCCCATCCTCGCTGCGCTTAAGAGACAAGCTATCATTCACAAAGTCGTAGCTATTTATGAGGTATCTGTAAGAGTAGGACTTCATGTGGCTCACGATGTGGTTATCGATCGATATCCAGAAGAACATGAGGCTTAGTACAAAACAAGTGGCAAATAACTGAATAAATTGCCATTTTTTTACTCTCCTGCCACTAACAAACATTCTGACGTCCATTCAGGTCTGTTTTTATTCAGGGTCAGTTTTAAATGGGTGCTTCCTTCTTCAAGACCATAGGACTTTGTATTCTTTAGAACAGATGTGCATGTTGGTCATTAAAAATGTAAAAGGAGCTTCTTATTTCACAAAATATTTTAATACCATTTTTTTCGGAAAGGGGAGAAAACGGAACACACTGCAGAATGAGGACACTGGCACATCAGAATGCTCCCACTCTGACATCCTTCATTAAGTTCGGGATTGGCCTTACGCAGCTATTCTGTGTACTCCTTTTTGTGAAAGTTAAGTGCAACCTATTAGATTTAGGAAGAGAAAAAATGACAAGTGAATAGGTTACTGAGTTACCAAAAAGAAACAGACTACTCTTAATTCCTTAAAAACAATATGTAACCTGACTGATCTGGACAAAAGGTGATGGGGCAGCTGGTGTTGCGTGGAGGCCTACAGCTGTTTATTTTTTCAGGGGAATCCAGGGAAAGGGAAAGAACCACTCTCTACCATCTTCTCATTCAGAATATAGAGACCCTTTTCTCTTTTCAACCTTAAAAAAAAAAAAAAAGCATCCAGTATGTCTATCATCTTATATACTTAAAGTTAAAATTTCTCAAATGGGTGTATCGATGAATCTATTGACTTGGAATATAGTCAGGATGACAGCAGCTATATAGTTCAGGGAACAATACTGAATGAAAAGGAAGTTCCTAATAGTAAAAATCCATTAAAGTTTGCCCCAGACAAGGCAGGAATAGGAGTAAGATTTTTTTTTTTTCAAATCAAGGTTCATAATCAAGGAGTTGAGATATGCTTCTCAAAAGCATAGTCCAAACTCTCTCTAACCAAAGTGACCTTTCTGTACAGTCATCTTCTTTCTGTACTTTTCCATTTGGAAACTCCACAGGCACCTCAAATTTAACATGTTCAAAACTGGGAAGCCACAGCATTATAACCAACAAGCACTGTCTTTGTAGTCAGGCAATTTGAACACCAGTGCTGGCTCAGCCACTTACTGTATATTGTACTTTATCATGCATCTAACCCAGAAATCTAAAAAATTCTAATAACACTGCTTAATTTGAAGTCTTAACTCGGAAGATTAAATGGGAACATACATAGAGGTATAGATAGAGGAAGGTAGATAGATAATAATTACCTGCACATGGGGGTACTCAAATGCCATTTCTACTGTCTTCTCCCCTAAAATCTGTTTCCATTTTTTCTTTGTGTCTGACTACACTTCATGTGTCTGTGCCAGAAATCTGAAAGTCCTCCTTTCCTTCCTCTTCTGTATCTAATTATTTAATCTGTGAATTGCTTCTTCTAAACCTCTCTTCACCCTTTCATGTCATCTTCACTTCTCAGCCAGACCAGTACAGCTGACTGAAAGATCTCTGGCCAATCCATCCTCCCCACAGAGTGACCTTTCTAAAACTCAGATCTAACCATGAGACTACCTGAGCTCTTGAAACCCCTTCAGATGCTCTCCACTAGTTGACAATACCAAATTATTGGCTGAAAGCTCAGACACCCTTGCTATTTCACACACACCAGCCTTTGCACCAGCAGTCCTGTGGCCTGTTAGCCCCACTCCCCTTGCTAAAGGAAGTCTACTAGTCCTAACTAAATTCTACAGGCATCCGACTCTGGGAAGTCTGAATTGGGCCCCCTGCTCTTACCTGTACTGCCATAACACCTTTTTTTCTCTTTTTTTTCAAAAAATGTTATTGGAGTATAGTTGATTTACAATGTTATGTTAGTTTCTGCTGTACAGCAATGAGTCAGTTATACATACACATATATCCACTCTTTTAGATTCTTTTCCCACATAGGCCATTACAGAGTATTGAGTAAGAGTTCCCTGTGCTATACAGAGGGTTCTTATTAGTTATGTATTTTATATATAGTAGTGTGCATATGTCAATCCCAATCTCCCAATTTATCCCTCCCCCCCCTTTCCCCCCTGCTAACCATAAGTTTGTTTTCTGCATCTGTGACTCCATTTCTGTTTTGTAAGTAAGTTCATTTGTACCATTTTGTTAGATTCCACATGTAAGTGATATTATATGATATTTGTCTTCCTCTGTCTGACTTACTTCACCAGGATGACAATCTCTAGGTCCGTCCATGTTGCTGCAAACGGCATTATTTCATCCTTTTTTATGGCTGAGTAATATTCCATTGTATATATGTACAACATCTCCTTTATCCACTCATCTATTGATGGACAGTTAGGTTGCTTCCATGTCCTTCCTGGCTATTGCAGCCACAACACCTTCTTACATCCATATTCTTGTACTGAGATTTTTTACTTAACTGCCTCCGCCCAATTACACTGTGAACTCTGACCCAAGGCACGAGATAGATACCTTGTAGATACCCTACCTCAGCATCCATGTCAGTGCCTGATACCTAGTAGGCGTTCTCTGAACGCTGGTGCAAAGAACCATGCTGGGGGATGGAGCCACCTGTCACTCAAGCAGCTGGTCACTTGGGAAGAACTGGGGTCAGGATGCCCAGCCAGGTACCACCTCAGATGAGGCCCCTGCCACCACTGCCTGCCACGTGTCCTCCCTTTCCTCCTACCACTAGGAGACAGCACCACCCTTCCTCGAGGATTCTGTCCCCAGTGCTTACCACAGTTAAGATGCAACCTTTTGCCTGGAGAAGCAGGCTCTCCCCTCGGGCTTGACACATCAGTCTCCTGGGCTTTCAACAGACTGACAGGGAAAGGACAACGCAGATTCCAGGATGTCCAGGCTGGCGGAGTAGCTGAGCCCACATCACAAGCCCCGGGGCAAGGGCTTTGCTTTTGTGCCAAAAGACCTCATCTTCAAGTCCCCTACCCTTTGCCCCTGATAAAAAACCAGTTGCACATACTGAGAGCACCAGGCAGTACCGGCCTAACCTGGGCTCTGGGAATTCCTTCTTGACTTCAGGCCTTTCACATCCCCCCAGGATTACTCCACATGAGGGTGATAACTGCAAAAGCCAAGCATGCGAAAAGTCCAAGGAGGACAGGAGATTAGAACCAAGCCTCAGTGAGACTTTGTCTAGAGATAATCAGCACAGGCATCTTATCCCCAAGGGTAGAGATTTTAAACTGCTAGCACCACTTAGGAAGCCACAAACAGCTTTAAAAAAAAAAAAAAGAAAGAAAGAAAGAAAAGAAAAAGGAAGAACAGAATAGAGAATGGAAGAGTGCATTGAAAGTAGTAAGTGTAAGTATTGTTTTGTGAAACTTTAAGTGTTGTGTGTATATACCTTTAGGGTTGTAAAGTAAAATGCATTTTTATTGTGCTTTACTGTCAAAAAAGGTGAGGAATACTATTCTAAGGGCCAGATCAACGTTGGTAATTTCCCCCTTAGTTTGGCTGGTCATGGTGGACCGAACGCTGTAGGGTAGGGTGAAGGACAGCAGGAAGCATCCATTTCTGACGACAGCATCTGCCTACACTTTGCACAATCACTTTCACTGGCTTGGGGGGAGTGGGGCACTTCCTCTCCGTCTTAACAGTGCTCACTTAGATAAGGTCCATCTCTGAAGGCCAAAACCCCCTTCTACTTCTTCCACGATACATACTGAAGGAACTGGAGGCTTAATGCGAAGTAACAGGGAATCCCTAACAGCAGATTTTAAGACAGCATAAGTGTTTAAGAATTCTAAGAAAATTCTCAATTGAAACTAATCTGCTGTTTCTATTCCAAGAGATTCTGGGAAGGAAACAAAGAGGAGAGTAACCCTTGGAACCACAGGCAAAACTAGCTTCCCATTTCTGAGCAGCTGCACTCAGTAGTATGTTCCAAGGGCAGCTTGCTTTGCACCTATTCACAGTTGTTTACAACCCGGAGCTTCTTGCTAGACAATCAGCCCACCAGCCCAACTCCGCCAGCACCCACTCGCACACTGCGCTCACAGAGGCCCTAATCTCTCTCCCATGAATGGGGTCTATTACTCACCCGGGTGGAATGTTGCTGCTAACATTGCTACTACAGCCAAGCAGCCAGCCCATAACATTGGTTTTGTCCCCTCCCTACCCCACCATGTATGTATTTACCTCATTTTCCTACATTTCTTCAATTGTTCCCAGTTGGCCTCTAAGAGTCACAACTGTTTTCTTAAAAATGAAAAAGAACTTGTCACAAAGCCAACAACCCATGCTACTTCTTTAGGCTCAGCACAGTGTGTGAAGTTCTAAGACACGGTTTCTCCACCCGCAGCTGCTTGAATTGTTGGAGCCACTGTTTACGTCAGTCATAACCAAGTCTCCCTGATAGTGTTGATGTGATGAGGGGAAGACCTAGGAATGGTAAACGGCTCTTTTAGAGGACCCAGCTTCTCTTATAGCAAAAGAACACCCCAACTCCTCCAAAGTGAACTTAGTCACTAGCCCGGACTTTTCCAACCAAAAGCAAAAACACCTCCATGGTCTAAATTCATTTGTTACAACTAAATAACATTGCCCCAGCCCTGGCTTTGCTGATGGAGACCACACACAGGCAATCAAGGCCCACCCTCTGGTTCACACAGCCATAAAGCTTCTCTAAAGCACATCCTCTAGCTTCTGTATTCAAAGTGCTGGGTTGGGGGCTACAGAGAAGCCCACAGGCCTCCCTGACCTGGAGAAAGAAAATGCTAGTCCTAACAGGAAACAAAGCGATCCCAATAATGATTGTGAACTCAGCAACCATCCACAACAGAATGCTGTGGGTGCAGCTTCCTTTGTGCCTGCAGTGCGGCTGGGTGACCAATCAACAGGTTGGAACCAAGGCTACCCGGTTTGGGGCCAGATTTATTGTATAACCTCGGGCACCCCTCACTGCACTCTGCTGTGGTGACTTAATCTGCAAGCTGGGGGCAAAGGATCAAAGTATTGTTACGGAGGGGATATAAAAATTACAGAGGACTTCAGAGCCTGCTGAGAGAACAGGACAAAGAGCTGGTTAGAGGAAAATATGCAAATATTTGGAATATAACTTGGGTTTGCTTCTATCTGGATTGAGAAGGAACAGATATTCTTAGTATTCTCTTTCCTGATAGAAGCAGTCAGAAGAATAAGAACAGAAGTTGAGTAGGAACATCAGAAAAGAAGGTAGCAGACCCCACCCCAAATACTTTTCAGTCTGGGAGCTGTGCCCCTCAGCCACTCAAGAATATTTCTTCACAAGAGAGCTCTTTAAACTTCTCTGATTAAAAAGAACAAAAACAGGGCTTCCTGGTGGCGCGGTGGTTGGGAGTCCGTCTGCCGATGCAGGGGACGCGGGTTCGTGCCCCGGTCCGGGAGGATCCCACGGGCCGCGGAGTGGCTGGGCCCGTGAGCCATGGCCGCTGAGCCTGCGCGTCCAGAGCCTGTGCTCCGCGGCGGGAGAGGCCACAGTGGTGAGAGGCCCGCGTACCGCAAAAAAAAAAAAGAACAAAAACAAAAATAATTAGTGCATCTAGAGGCACTAATGAACCCTGATTTTTTTCTACTTCACTCCTGCTGTCAACCCATTTCTTTGTTGAGTCTACTTTTGTGATCCTAAAATATTACGCAAAATCTGCTGTAAATTTTGACATTTTAATCAAGATGATGAGGTCGGCATTTTAAGTTCAAGTTAAACAACCTCAGTGTCCAGTGTTTCAATTAATCCTATAAGTGTGTGAGTATTTGCTATGGAAACATCCCAGGCACAGTGGGAGTCATGAAGTCGTATTTTCTGGCCTCTGCTCTGAAAGTACCTATAATCTAGTTGAGACAAGACTCATGGTGCCCATGTGAAAACACAGTTCCCCCAGACAGCAACAGGGATGTCACAGTAAGGTACAGACAGTGTGTTGGCACTAATCTGGGTCATACCAACTCCAGGAGTGTCCCCAGGAGTAGAGATCAGTGACAGTTGGATCAGAAGGGCCTGAGGATGAACAGGATTTAGGTGGCTGCAGAAGGACAAGCAGTCTGTTTCAGGCAAGAAAGGAAAGAAACAAAATAGGGCAAATCCTTGAGAAACAGGCATGTGTTTGAAAGCAGGAGGTTGGGGTGTACTTATGGAGAACCTTGAAAATAAGGCAGAGAAGCCAGTGAGTGCCCAGGGCAGCAAGTCCCAGAAGTTTCCCTTTTTGTTTTTAGTGATAACTCCCTTGTCAATATTTATTAAACTTTATGCAAAAATCTGGCAGTGGTACGCAGGATGGATGCAGGATGCCTGGAGATCGGACACTGGTTATATCAGGGCCTCGTACTGAAGCAGAATGAGGAAAGGAGGGTCTAGTCTAGGATGGTAGAAGTGGGGAGGGAAGGAAGGAATAAAGAAGACCCTCTCAAGAAAAACAAAACCCCAGTGGTACGTGATGAGTGACAAGGAAAGGAGTAAAGGAGAGGAGAGAAACCTAGTTTCAAGCATTCCTGACAAAAGAGGGAACACTGACTGTCTCCTGAGTTAGGAGTGAGGAGGGGACATGTTTGGCTTTAGGCTGCGCTGACTGAGATGTTGGAGAGACAGCAGGTAGAGAAGTCCAGCAGGTAATCTGAGCCTGGAGGCAGACAGGACTGAAGGTCCGGTGGGCACCCTGCATGTAAAGACGATGGAGGCTATGAACATGGGTGAGCTCTCCAGCGGGGGAGCTGAGCAGAGGCCTGGAACAGTAAACTCTGGGGAAGGAGAAGGGGGAGGAGTAAGAAAAAACAGGAACTAGCTTAAAGGGCTGGTGCGTCAGAAAATTAAGATGGGGTAACAAAGAAAATTAAGATGGAGACAGTCGGAAGGCAGGACGTAAAGGCTAGTCCTGGCGCTCGAGTGGGAAGACAGACGTGGAGCAAACAGTGAGAGCTGTGCTGGGAGCGCAGGGGGCTCTCAAGGTGGGGTTGGGTGGAGTTAGGGAAGGCATCTTCCAGGAGGACAAGCGGCACTGAATCTAGACCTGAAGGCTGAGTAATGTTAACTAGAGAAACCAGTGGGTTTGAATTCAAAAATGCATATATTTTTGTGTCCACTCCTTTGTTTCTTGACCACCGTTTCTGGCCATCATTGTGATATATGAACAACGTCCAATCTTGGGGAAACTACATTTCTACGTCTTACCCAGTAGACGTACAACACTCAGAAGCCTAAGGAACCCTTGTTTTATGGTGTAGGTGCCATTTTGTTCACATTACTTCCCACACACTCAAGACAACTTACCAGCAAGAAAGTCATTTATGTGGCTTCACTTAGAACTGCATTTCTTCTGAAATTTCAAATTCCAGTCCACTCTCTCTTCAGCCACAACCTCTAAATATTCATCTGGAAACCTCTGCGCCCCCCGCCTGCCCCCTAACACCCCGGGTCCAGCCAGCCATCTCCTGACCTTTCTTCTACCTGCCTCCCTGTCTCAGATGCAGGATCACCTGGCACCTTTGCCCTCCTCTCCCTGATTCCTGGCCTTCCACCCCAGCAACCCCAGACCTTGGGTCATTCCTGTCTTCTCTACAACACCTGCGGGCTGCTGGAGAAACATAACGCACCAGGCAGACAGCATCACCACAAGTGGCGATATCCAGCTGTGGGCAGAGTACTCAAGGCTGTGTGGCCGTCCTCCACTTGTCCTGGACCTTCTCCCTCTCCCAGGCTCTTCACCAGCCATGCTACATCATTCCCCCTCTCCCAAGGCCTGTCCTCCTCCTCTTAGCTGATGACTTCCCCTCCTGCCTCATAGAGAAAGGAAAAGACATCACACACATTCTCATCTCATCCCACATGTGCTTCCTCTCCGGGAATTCCCCAGGCTGGCCAGCCCTCTCCGTTCCCTCTATAAAGCACACTGACCACTGTCAGGGGAGGGCAAGGGAGAGGCAAGTGAGGCAGTCGTTTGGGGCACAAAATATTAAAGTGATAAAAGTATGACTACAGACTAATGATGCTCCTCCAGTAAGTCACAGATTTTTTTAAAAAGCCTCAATACTTGATACTTTTATGCTTAAGCTTTCATGACTTAAAGTCCCATGTGAGACACAATTTTTGGTTCCTTTCCAGGCATAACTCAAAGGAAAGGAAGATAACATTTTCTCTCCCATCTTTATGTTGCATTTTGTTCTACATTCCAAGTATTTTTTTTCCTGGCTTGTTCTGATCATCTATTCCCTATTAAATATAGCTAGAATCAATCCTCAGGAGCCAAACTGCCATGTTAAAGAAATCAGGAATAAAAAGCCCTGAATTTACTGGAAAGGCTATAATTTGATCTTCATAGATTTTTTTCTTAGTAAATTAGTTGTAGTAATTGGTGCTGAGAAACACAACTGGTTACTGTTTAGCACTATTTCCCCTTCTATTTGCTCAAGAAGGAAGGAAGCAACCTGAAATGTGAATTTACAGCTCACATTTTAAGTGGGAAAAATTAGATATTCTCTCAATTATATTTTATTCTTTAATCAAATTTCCAATATAAGGCTGTAAAAAAGGACAAATTCCACTCAACAGCTGTCTTTAGGTGTTTTATGGCTGTGACTAGCTATGAAACTTTAGCTCAAGCCATGGGCAAAGATTACAAGCCATTTGGAATTGTTATCCCTCCACAAAGAATACATTTTTAGAGTTAGTTCTTGATCCAGTGTTAGTCCAAAGACTTTAAATTTCAACTCTGCAAGCATGGATATGGGACAGTGGGAAAAGCTGGTTATAAAATGTATTGCTCCCCACTTATGTAAACTAAGTTATATGTTTCTTTATAAGTTAAACATGGGTGTCGATTTCTGTTTGCTGGTTATAGGAAAAATAAAGACAGGGAAATACAAAATGACCAAACAAGTAAAGACAGGCTCTAAGTAAAGATAAGCACTAAGGAAACTGGTGACAGAGGGATTATAGAATATATTATATTTCAGAGGAATTATATTAAAAGTTGCTGAAATTTCCCAGTAACCAGTTTGATTACACAGAATTTGAAACAAACAAAAATGCTGAAATATAAAGAGGGTCTCAGAAAGGTCAAGCACTTGCTTTTCTAAGCTTGGCCTTCTGTATTCATTCTTGAGGCATATTTGTTTGGGTTGACAGGGCTGCTTGCTCTTTAAATACAATTCTTAACAGTTTTGTTCTTGCCTACTTAAGGAATAAACTTCTCCTTATGCCCAGTCTAGCAACAGTTACTAACTTGGTGTGTTTACTGTGCACCAGGCTCTGTTCAGAATGCTTTACATATATAGAAACTCTTTAAGTCTCACAACAACCTATGAGGGAGAAATTATCTCCCCATTTTGCAGAAGAAGAAACTGAGGCACCGAGACATGGGATTAACCATGTAACCTCCATAGATTGCAGACCCTGTGGCAGCTCAGAAGCACCTGATCAGTTACAGCCCTGTCCCTGAGCTCCTCACCTGCCTTTTCTGGCACTGGCACAGCTGCTCTTCCTGGAGCTCCCAGAAGGATGGGAGGACAGGGAAGCAGGTAGGGCAGAACCAAGAGAAGCAACCCAAGGCAAAAGATTTGCTTCACTGTCTGAAGTTTGGAGTCATTTATGTTTTGCTACCACCTGCACTTCGCCAGAACTTGTTCTTATTTTCTTTGTAACATACCCTTTTCCTAACCTTCCATCTCAAGTTTCCCTCCTTCCTTTTCTTGATCTCAGTAGCACTAGACAATGGGCAAAAGTGACCCTGTAAGTCTGGGTCCTTTGGGTACATACAGTCTTTCCTGCACAAGGAAGATTGGGGAATTTAAGGGTGGAGATTCAAAGTGGTAGGAGGGGGTAAAGAAAAAAGAAGGAGGGAAGGAGAAGAGAGTAAAACGTATAGGACTCAGAGAGGATGTTTTAAGCAAGTATTCAATGAATAAGTATTGGATGAGATAAAAGGAGAGGAGTCGTACACAGCTGAGGTCAAATTATGATATGAAAAATAGTGATTTCAAAATAGGGTGACAATATAACCTGGTATGAACCTGTTATATAAGCTATGCACATTAGCTTGTTGTCCAATGGCAGTTCAAATGTCCCATTCTGGACACATTTGATTGTGGGTTCAGAGTATAAAAAATGAAGGTCTAAAACATAAGAGATATTTATAACACATTTCTGTCTCAGCTGATCAACATTTATTATAAGTTAACTACCATTTAAGCACCTGCCCTATCCCAGGCATTATGCTGCACAGCCCTGAAAGTAGGTAATACCTACATTTAATTCATTCAACAAATATTAATTTATCACGTACTGTGTAGTAGGCCACAGACAGGATGCTGAGAGGGCTTCAGAGATGTTTCCAGTGTAGATCCCCTAACAGAGTAAGAAAATGTTCCGGTGCAACCTTGAATCTGGACCTGATGGGGTCAAGAGAGTAGAAGAATCAAGAGTTTTAGAATGTGAACAAAAGTAATTTATATTCTGCTGCATCCATTTACTAATCACGTGAGCTTGATTTGTCTCTAAACCTTGTACCAACAGTGTTTTCTGAGGATCATTTGAGAAGATTTATTGACAGAATGTGGTCCAGATCAGGGGTTTGATGTATGCTAATTTCCTTTCTCTAGAAATTGTTGATGCATCTTTACCATGATGGTTTAGTTAACAGATGGCCGATATTCTTTATGGGTTATTTTCCTTTCAAAGTGATGAGCTATACTCTTAATATTCTTCTCAAAAATATTTATTAAATACGAGTTTTTTGAAATACTGATCTGATTGCTAAGGGCCACTAATACATCTCAAATACTGTTGTGACTGAGAACAGAGGTATCGTTCCTAATTGACTGAACGTGGTCTTCCATTATGCTTTACAGGAAAGAACAATATTGTTCCCACAAGCACTTAAAAATACATTTCAAATGACACAGCCAAAAGTAAGGCCCTGTAAATTACGGAGAGGGAAACCTGAGTGGAGTCATCTTTTTAACTTACTTTGCTTAGAGCACAACCAAAACGTTGTCAAAAGAGTTGTAGAAAAGGAATAAAAGAGACAAAATAATGAAATTTCAGGGAATCTTAGGCTGGGTAATAGTGCTCTGAACTTGGAATTTAGGGGGCTTATTGCCTGCAGACTTGGTAGAACATTCCTTTCTGTTAGAAAAAAAAAAACAAAACTGGCTTCTAGTGTTAAAACGTTCACTATGGAAGATAAATAAGTTACTGGTCAAAGCCAGCCTCTGAATTTCTAGCATTAAAATGCAAAAACAAATCACTTTTGTTTATTCAAAGTTTACATCTCACCTGATCAAGTTGCTTATCTTTAAATATGAATTCTTATATCTCTTTTATATATGCAAACTGTAAGAAAAATATTCTAGATTTACACTGTTCTGGCTAAATCTTTGCTGGCAGAGATTCTATATCTAATAGCAGGGCTCTTGTAATAATTTGCTGTTCCTCCATTTCTGGAACATAGATACAATGTATACATCTCCTCACAAGATTATTCCACAATGGAATAAAATAATGGCTATGGAAATATTCCCCAAAAGGTATAATGTGCCATAAAATGCAAAGCTAAGATTTATTCAGTTGAGTATATATAACATTCCAAAAAGACAGGATACATTTTGTTACTTTGAGAAGAAATCATTTCCTTCTGAATTTTTCCCAGTTTCTTTCTACCACATCCCATGTTCGGTTATGTAGACTCTAGTGCAGTTGGTCCTCAGAAAGAACTCTACCTTGACTATTTGAAAGTCACCGAGTACAATGATTCTAGCCAAAGTGACCCATTTTAAAAGATGACCCATTTCAAAACCCATGAGTTATTATTCAAGCTGTTCTATATTTGAGAATTTGAAAGTTATTTCCTTTTCTTACAATCTCATTTGAATCAGTCTTTTATAAAAGGGAAATTTGATCTCTATTTTAATGAAATATAATGTGACATTTTTCCTTGCTAAAGCCTGCACTTTATGTTGAAAACTCTTCTCCACCTTCTGATGGTTTGTGTTTGTGCATGGGTGTGTGTATGTGTGTGTGGTCAAAGCATGTGTGTGCAATATCATCTATGCGTCCTAAACATCCCTCATTTCTCACTTCCTCAGAAACAGCCTCTCTGAGCTTCAGCTTGAACTCTCCCTGTCACAACACTCATTCCCATCTTCAGGTGTCACGGTGAGCACCTGGAGGGCTGAGATTAGTCAGACTGAGTCACCCTCTTCCTCAGAGGGTGCTCAGTAAACACTCAAGGAGAGTGTTTCCCAGTGGGAGAGGGGATGGGAGAGAGAGAAGGAAAGGGAAAGGGGAGAATCATTTTAAGTATTTAATGGAAACATTTCAGGTATTGAATTTATCTTCTTTAAAAAAAAGAGTTGACTCCAAAAAGCAGCTCCCCCCTCTCCCCCACCCTGTCACAGGATATAAAATCTACCATAAGTTTCTTTTGAGAAAGTTAAAACCTCAGGTGCTAATCACCAATCCCCCTTTCAGAAAGTTCAGGATGGGATCTTTTCAGCGCCACCACTGAATAAAACTACCTTCAATCATCCTTTTCTGGGTCAGTTTCAGCTTCTCACACCCTTCTCCCTTCCCCCATAGGGACCAGGCAAAGTTTCCCAAAATAAAGGCACAGAGGAACAAATCCAGTTCTAATGGATGTACTTGCATCAGAGAATTACCCTAAATATTAGCTCCAAGCCACCACCAGCCACGGAGCGATTACAACTTTGGTGTCCCTTTAACATGACCCATAAACTATGAAAACCAACACTGGGAAAGAAAAATATAAGGTGTGTGGTCAGAGTCGGATGAAAAGTTCCTACTCTGGACCTACGTAAGTGGTATCTGAGTAAGCAATTGACTCTGTCACTTCAGGATGCAAAATAAAATTCAGCAGAGTCAAAGGAAAGCGTGGCAAAGACCTCCCCACTTAGAAAGAGGTCTCTTTTTCCAGTTTCCCCGCCTGCCTACTTCCTTGTCTCCATTTCCCCAGCCAGTAACTCACCGAAAGCTTCCCTAGTCTGGCGGTTTCCCAACTCCCAACACGACACAGGATTTCTACCCGAATTCACCCCTGCAGCCTAGGTGTGGCTGCAAGGTTGGGGGCCACCAGCCGGAACGGAGGCCCGCAGGGCTCGGTGTTCTCCTCCCGGCTCCGGCCGGTTTCGGCATCGCGGCGAAGCGGCCGCCTCGCGGGAGCTCCGAGGAAAGGGGACCCCGCCCGGCCCCGGGACACTTCACCCCGCCGGAGCTCCGGGCCCCCCAGCCTACCTGCTGCACTTGGGCGGAGGCTCGGCCCAGGGTCACGGTCGCCAAACGCCCGCCCGCAGGCCCGAGCAAACAAAGGCGCTCCGGAGAGGGAACGCGCCTCCTTCCCCACCGCGCTCTCTGGCTGCGGGCAGCCCTGACCCGCGGCGGGTAGGGCGGCCCCAGCTTCCCGACGCCGGGCCGGGCGCGCTCCGGACCAGTGTCTGCTTCAGCCGTGCCTCCCCGGCCCCAGCGCGCATTCCAACCTGAGCCACCGTGCGAACGCGCGTGCCTTCACCTCCTCGCGACTCTCTTCCCCTCTCGGCCCTGGAGACCTCGCCGAGGCGGCGGAACAGACTCCGAGTCTCCGGTCCTGCAGCCCGGGAATTGCTCCTGCGGAGAGGCGCGGCGCGGCAAGGCGGCCAGGCCGGGCAGGGGCGGGGCGGAGGCCGGGCGGTCCGGAGCCCTCCGCTGCGGACCGAGGGAGTCAGTCTCCCCTCACAAAGAACAAACCAGGCGGGGAGTTGAGATTTATCCCCGCCGAGCGGGCTAGAACTTACCACATTTAGTGATCCGGAAGAGAAGACTACATTTCCACCCACCAGGGGCCTGGGCCCCTGCTAGGATGCGGTGGGATGCAGAGCATTTTTTAAAATGGTACGATTGATCCCATATATTAATTCCATATGAAACAACTGGTCTCCGTACAGTTTGCATTAGGAGGTAGAATTTGTTAGGCGATCCATTCGTTCAGAACATGCAAAGGTTTACTCATCTGCGGGAGATAAGTTTTGACTGAGTTGCAGTTCTCTGAGCACCTTATTTTCCTTTTCAGAGCAAGAGGGCTAAGGGCAGGCTAGACTTTAAAAGATCTCTTGTCACACCACTTACGCCTCGAGCTTCTGGGGGCCTCAGTGACAAAAGAAGGAAACTCTAATCTGCAGCATACAGCTTCGCGACAGCGGTTCGCTTTAAGAATGCAGTGGGACGGTGGGGAGAGACTCACCCCGCCCCACCTTCAATCCCAACTTAATTTCAAAGAGAGCTTAAAGCAAAACTCACCAAGTTCAAGACCAGCTCCTCAAACTCCCAAATCGCAGGTCGGCTCTCCTCCTGGCAGCGAAGCTAAAGTCATGGGGGTCTCCGGAACAAAACTTGCCCGTTTAAAATCTTGGTCAGGGGCTGGGCAGCCGGCTCTCGGCTGGGCTCGCCTCCCCGGAGGGGAGCGGGCTGCAGAGGGCAGATTGCGGGGGACCCAATCAGGGGCTCCCAGCGGAGGGCGGGGGCGCGGCCAGCGTGCCGCGTTTCCTGACCCTCTTGGCGTCACTGATGAAGCCCAGTCTGGCCTGACCTTTGACGCCACCCCTGCGTGTTGGGGAAGGTGATGGGTCCCGCTTGAGTCTATTCCTGTCGGTGCATGGCAACTCCAGGAAGTGCTTCTCCACACCTCTTTAGTTATTTGAGATCATTTAGTCAGATCATCAACTGTGAGCTAGGACCCGCATGAATGTCCTCTTTGAGGTGTTTTCCCCATTCAAAATACTTAATACATGTAATAGACAAAATCAGGAGAAGATAAATTTCCACTGAGTGGAAGAGATTATAAATAAATCCTTTATGGGTTTAGTTTTTTGTTCTCCAAATATTGTTCTAGCATCCTCCTCATAGAACAAATATTATCATTTAACAGAGGTGATATTTTGAACGACTTTGTATATATTTGAGAACATGAGAGAAAACAAAAGATTAACCCATTACTTCAGTAAAATAAAAGTTTTGGATTTGTTATTGTAAAAGGAATGGCAGGTAATGACTTAAAAGTAGATTACTGAGTCAGTTTGAAACTGTAAATACAACATTGTACATGTTATTTCTAACTAGATTTTTAAGAGGTTTTGTTATTGGTTTTTTTTTTTTTTTTACGGTACGCGGACCTCTCACTGTTTTGGTCTCTCCCATTGTGGAGCACAGGCTCCAGACGCGCAGGGTCAGCGGCCATGGCTCACGGGCCCAGCCTCTCTGCGGCATGTGGGATCTTCCCGGACTGGGGCACGAACCTGTGTCCCCTGCATCGGCAGGCGGACTCTCAACCACTGCACCACCAGGGAAGCCCCTTAAGAGGTTTTGTAATTGCTTTCTTTAAGCTCCTTAGCATATTTTCAACCATGCAGTTATTTTCTTTCATATATTACCTGTAGAGAGCATGGCTCAGTACTGGTATTATCAACTCAGACCACGTGGCATGTCAGACCACAGATAGAAATATTTAGGTAATGTGATTTGTAAGGGAATCACTGACAGTGACCCATAAATAAGCTAATTTATTGTTAGTGCAGTGCAACTCCCTTTACCTATGCAAAATAAAACCCTGTTGGTAAGTAAACCCACAGACATTCCCCCTCCCCCCAGGTATCATGTGTATGTTGTATTTATGTACAAATGTTCAATTGCCATTATATTCCTGTCGCGTCATCTGGAACTAAGCCCACATAGGTGCAGGTGTCAGCATGTGTGTATTCCGCATGCTCGAACACATAGGACTGTACCCACAAAAAATACAAACTGAACCAAACATTGATAAATACATATAAAAATCACATATTTACATCAGCCTGTATGGAGATAGACAAGCCAGACAGAGAAATGCTTCAAAAGTAAGTCAGGAGATTGGTGAGAGGATGTGGGGCTTTTGGTGGGAGGAGGGGAAAGGGTGTGGGTGAGAGATGGGGTGGTCCAGAATGCCTGCCCAGGTGCCCACACATGAACATATATGCACAGGGACGGCATCTTTGCCCATCTGGGAGAATGATTTCCTACAGCAGGCTGGCTTCCCATCCCACCCCAGAAGGAGAGGAAGAGGATGATAGATTGGATAGTATATAACAAAGTACTCAGTTTGTTTTGTTGGGAGGGAGTGCTTGAAATTAGTTGGAGATAAAATTAACTGATAGTAGTGAAGCTGATTTGACCATCAGAGAAGGAAGACCTTCCTTCGCCTTGCCCTCAGTGTCCACAGTAGCTGCTTGTGAACAGAGACCACTACAAAATTTATAAATGACTTTCAATCTCACCGTCAGGACTTTGCTTCACAGAGCACTAGAGAATTTAGGAAAGTGGTGGCAAAAAGAAAGCTGTAGCATCAAGATGGTAAACTTGAAAACTGAGAGGAATTGCAATTTGCATGTTAAATTTAGAAGGGAGAAGGTAAGGTGGAGAGAGAGCAGAGGGAGAAGCAGATATAGGAGAGAGGACCAGAGAGTAGAGCATGTATTATTAGTTTTGGGGAAAAGAAGACTGAAAAGAGAACCTGGGAGATGGTGGGAACAAAAGAGACCCAAAGAGAGAAGTGTTAGTGAAGTCATGAAAGGAGAAACAGGTTTGATAACTGCTACTTAATACCTAACACAGTTGAAGCATATCAACATAGTGCCATGCTTGACTTGTTAGCTTAAGTTGTGCTTTCTGTAGAAGGTAGGAGGTTTCCTCACAGACCCTGTACAGGCCCTGTCCCATGAATTCAGACACACCACAGGCTGTGTGTTCTGAAACCAGTGAGCATCTATGCAAGGCCTGGGCAGCTAGAGAGGTGGGGTGGAATCCTGACTTAGTTCCTGCTGGCCACAAGATCGGGGCAAGCGACCCAACTTCTCTGTGCCCCATGGTAATTCCCGACTGGAAGGGTGCAGTGAGGGCTGACTACAGAGCAGTAACATGTGTGAAGTGCTGAGCACGGCGCCTCACGGACTGGGTGGACAGCTGTCATCCTCATGCCACTGTGGGCTACAGAAAGCTCTCGCTTGGTGAGCTGGTCTTCATGCTATATCCCATCATCATCATTGCTATAAAAGGACCTGCTGTGTTTCACATCTTTAGAGATACATTTTCTGTTAATACAGCATCAGCAGTTAAAACAATGCAACAACTCCTTGGCTGTCTCCTCTTCCTCCTTTACTGCCCACCAGCCCCTCCTACCCCCACATGTATCCTTCTGGGTATTCTTTTCTCACCACACTTGCTGCTTGGTGATCTCATCCATTGCCTTTAATCCATGATTTATATTTCTAGTCTAGATTCTGAGCTCCAAACTTGAGTGTCTTCACTTAAGTGTCACATCAGTCTTAAGCTTAGCAGGTCTAAAATGGAATATTCAAATACATTTTTGTGAAATGGTGAATGGATGGGTGTTGGATGAACCCCCAAGGGCCAGAATCCTCCTTCTTCTCGCCAGTGGACCCAGCCCAGGGTGTTTGTTACGTGTCAATAACGGTCAGTGGCATTATGTCACTGTATAAATATCTGTGGATCTGTTTTCCCTACTCTTTTGAGAGTCCTCAGACCTCTTGAGGATGGAGATCACATCCTACTCATCTCCAGTTCCCTTGAAGAAGCCTCCCACAATGCCTTGCACGGAGTGAATATGTATTAATGGCTGGTTGAATTGAATTTTTGCTGAACGCTTCCCACATTCATCAAAAGTTCAAACTTTCGGTCCAAGAAGCCTCATCTACAGTACAATGGCCCCAGTGTACTTCTCCCTCGATGCCAACAAGGCCCAAATGCTGACATTGGAGGCACACTAGCCCCTTTCCTACAGCTCCTGCTTCTGCTCCTGTGGTTTGGCACGATTCACCAGCCTCCCTCAATTCCAGGATCTTGGCAGTTGGATGAAACCATACTAGGTATACCCAGAGCTGGAAGATGAAGGGAACTGACAGCACAAAGAGGTACTCACCCACAGGCCATTCTAAGAACCCATTTTGTTCCTTTCTCTTCACTTCTGCATGGGGGGAGGAACCTCAACTCATCTCCTTCCACATCAATACATAAGGGCATCTCTCATGTGCCCCTATAACCCTCAGTAGGGGTCCCACAGGGACAGGGACAGTCTTGCTGGGACAGGCCCTGCTTGCTGGGACCCTTCTTGGTGCAGTAGAGCTGTACTGTGGATTGAGTGGGCCTCACTCGGGGGAGGGAGTGGGGGAAGAAGACTGGCGGGTGGGAGTGAGGCTGCCACAGGTTTCCTTTCCATGCTGCAAATGCTCAAACAGCCCCTGTGACAGTGACCTGGTACCAACCCCCTGCCATTAGATCCCTCAGCATTTCTTCTCCCCTCTCCACCTGCAGATCATATATCCATTTTCACACTCCCACGGCCATACAGCATTCTGTGCAGGTTCCGAGGGACTGCCTCTAAGTCTACCTTTTTCTCCCCAAGCTAGGAGCATATATCCAAATTGAGTGAACGAGTGATACTTGTGTAGGGACAATCTTGAATTCTACCTGATTAACACTTAACTTTTAAAAGACAATTGGCACCATCCTGCCCACAGTTATGTAAACTGAGAAAAACTATTTGGATCCTGTGAGGGGTGGTACAGAGAAAAAAAAGAAAATTACAGCACATGGAGATGTTCAGAAAACAGTTGTTGACTATGACATGGGGGCTACGTGCCTGGCCCAGATGCAGTCATTTGAGTTAGAAATTTTGCACTTAAGTTTGGTTGTGCTGATATTTAAGGGACAACTAAAATCTAATTCTCTGTTACCCTTTTCTTAATAGTTAATAATTTCTAAGCGCTCATTGCCTGCTTTATGGAGCATACATGCTTCAAATCCTACTCAAATTAATTCTAAAAGGCAGTTATAGTCCTGCCTGAGATTTATATTGAGTATTATTTAAAATATGGACCATTAGTTAGGAATTAAAAATAGCTACAGTGAGATTTTTCTTATAACAGCACTTTTCAAAAGCCAATTCTAAAGTTCTTGACAAATCATGTGCTCTGAAAAACATATACATTTCATGAATCAGCCTTGATTGGTCTAATGGTCTAAGGACATAAAGCCCAATATTAATTAACACCAATTTGATCCTGCAGATATAGGGCTAAGGAATCCTAGAAAGAGCAATATCTCTGAGAAATATGTTTCTAGCATAATAAACAAACAAACAAACCCTCTTGGGAGGAAAGGAATTAATAGAATAATAGGATATCTGCTGGTAGATCTAGATACAAATAGGTCTGCAGAAAGGTACACAGGGTAAAGAAAGCAGTGTGTCTTTTCATCAATTTTTGATCTTTGACTATTTTATACACTTTTTTTTTTAATCTTTGGGAATTTCCTTTTTGCAATAGATTTCCCTTTGCATGAGGCAGAAGCTCATTAACTCTTTCACAATTTCTTTTCCTTACGGGAGGATTATCAGGTTACTGGATACTCCTGTTGGAATTAGTACCAGTACTACCCTTTCCCATGAATTGAGGTAGTAATGGTTTTCCTATCAGCAGTATTCCAGGAGTCTACTTGGTACC